ATAGTACGTTGCAATATTCCTATGATGAGAATATTTCTTCAGCATATTTATCTCCAGTTTAATTTCTTCCTCTTCATCCTGAAGAAAAAAAGTAACAAAACATGTGGCTTCTGAATGATTTGCTTTCCTCCCACACCAGCAAACGGACAGTGATGGAGGAGCATACGCTTCCTCCATTCCCAGCTCACCCTTCTGAATGTGACCACGAGAAAGGAGAGGCAAAGAACAAGTGTGAGAAACAGCAGGATGGACCAGGGCAGAGTTCCAGCCTGATCCCCCACTACCTGTGACCTCAGGCTAGTTATTCTACTTCTAGGAGGCAGTTTGCTCAAGTGAAACAACACCCGCCACCCCATCACCCAACCCGGCCACCCTCGTGTAAAAGGTAATTTGACTGATACTATTTCAATTAATCATTAGGAAAGGCTATTTCCTCCTTAGGAGACATTTATGAATACACTTAAGAACAGGTTTGCAAAGTATTAGACAGGTGACAACACACGACTTCCAGGGGTGATGTACTAGGTTGCACTCGGGGCCAACCTCGTACACAGATTGTTTCAGACTAAGCTCTTCCTTGTGCCTGCTCCTATATTAGTAAGCTGAGCAGCAGGAGGAAAGGAAAGTCCTTGTGAGAAGATGGGAAGAGGGAGAAGAAGGAAACAGATAGACATATAGGCACAAACACATAAATCAGTTGTCCTGTAAGTGATAAAATGTGAGGAGTCCCAGTCTCCACCTCTCTCCCACACACTTGGGGAAGAAAGTGAAGCAAGAGCATGGCCATTTTATTCTGTTACCTGCTGCACATACTGACAAACCTCCTGTAAGAGGGCAGGTTAAGAAAGCTCTCTAAGCATCATCCAAATAAAGGAAAATTAGAATTAAAATTAGAAAATCGTATGTGGGGTGGGTGGGTGTGAGTTTGTGCGCGCGCGCAGGAATCACCCTTGTGGTGAGAAAGCACAGTGTAAGTTTTTCAGGTAAAATTCATGATCAAATCTCTCAAATTCTTTATGCACGCCATTGCTGCAACCTCCTTAGACTTCCGCACAAACACACCCACTCTACATTCTCATTCTTCCCTTCTCGTGGAATAATTTGAGTAATGTACAGGTGTGTATACACGCACGTCCAGTGAAGCACAGAAGAGTACCAACGAATGTGCATGTGTGTATATGTGTACAGGCACAAAGTCTGAAGACATCAATTGCTTTAGGCAAGCATCAACAGCTTTCTTAAAGCCTTAAAGAAGGAAAATTTTATACTCTATCACTACTATACTTTAAAATAAAAGATAACTATCATTAATTAGATATAAAAATAAGATGAAAGAAAATAGAAGAAAAATATTAAATACCATTTCAGTTATATATTTTGCTTTAGAAACCAAACACCTAAGAAGGCGTGCAGTCATCTTAAAGCAGTGATTTCTAAGGATGGCAGATCTCCTCCTGGGTATCATTGCCAAAAACAGATACGTTATATCAAAGACACAGATACTGAGATGTTGCAGAACATTCTGCAAATACAGTGATCTTGTAACTTCCATAGGAGATGACTATCAACAAAGCAGCAGAGTGGTCAAATATAGGCTCTATAATGACTCTCCTCTGAGCCCCGTGCAGAGGAAAATCATACCAAATGTGTATCATTTCAACAAGGCATTCAAACATGCTCATGTTCAAAGCAGCAATGGAAACTGGGATAATAATTATAGTTATAGTAACTATCTTAATTCTACACAAAACCAGCATTTAACCTGGCTGATATAGGAAAAAAAATGCTTCTATCTGAATTTTGTCTTCAAAGGAACTTTATATTAAAACAAAAAGGAGTAATAATTAACAAAAGCAGAAAGAAATAAGTCCCTAACAAAACTAAGAATTCTTGATTCAGAGAAAGGCTTTAATTGTGTCCTTTATCTGTACATGCACCTCCTATGTACAGAATAATATTCATGAGGCATGAAAAGGTGGTTAAGTCTGTTGGCAAAGAACATTTGTGGCCTGCTTACAAAGCCATCTAATGCCGCTCCTGGAACAAGGGCCACAGCTAAACACATGCTCCAAAGAGCCAAATATCCTGTTCCTCACACTAGCTGTAGCCAGGAGATCATAAAAGAAACTAAAGATCTGATCTATTTTTATTTAAATTAAAAAAAATCGATAGCCATATAGAAATTTGGAATATTAAAAAAAAAAGTACATAGCCAAGTGTGATGGGCACACCTTAAATCCAAGCCCTTTGAGGCCAGCTCCTTCTATATACAGAGTTGCAAGCCAGGGATACACAGTGAGACCTTGTCTTTACAGAGAATAGATGTACAAAACAAAAGAATACTTTTAAGGTAGAAAAAAGTGAAAACACTAACTTTGTTTTACAGTTCATTCGCCCGCCAACCCTCAGTTCACTGCTGTGAGAGCTGTCCTGGTTTAGAGACGTGATTACCCATATATCCCCCACTCCCCACTTCCTCCACTCTCTATCTTGCTTGATTTTTCCCAGGGTCATTGTCCCATCCCACTAGACAAGAAATTCTACTTCTTGGCTGAGAATAAACGCTACCCAAGAGTCTCCCATCAGCAGCTCCCCGAAGAGTAATTAAGAATCCGAACAGTCTGACTAGCTGCAATGCACTTTTTCCTTTGAGTAACAGCAATTCTTTCTAGGATCCAGCTGTTCATCGTGTTAAGAAGTCAAGAGCTTCCAAAGGTACTTAGTTCCATAACCCACTGATTAAAAAACAAACGTGCTGTGGGATGTTCTGTATGTTAAATGTGTTGCTCTGATTGGTTAATAAATAAAATACTGATTGGCCAGTAGCCAGGCAGAAAGTATAGGCCGGACAAGCAGAGAAGAGAATTCTGGGAAGTGGAAGGCTGAGGTAGAGAGATTCCGCCAGCTGCCACCAGGACAAGCAACATGTAAGACACCGGTAAGCCATGTGGCAAGGTATAGACTAATAGAAATGGGTTAATTTAAGATATACAAACTAGATAACAAGAAACCTGCTGTGGCCGTACAGTTTGTAATCAATATAAGTCTCTGCGTGTTTACTTGGTTGGGTCTGAGCAGCTGTGGGACTGGCGGGTGAGAGAGATTTGTCCTGACCCTGGGCCAGGCAGGACCAGGAAAACTATATCTACACAAACGCATATTCTGAAGTTGTTAAAGCTTAAATTCAGTGTTGTCCACTGGTCTAAAAATGTTGAGTATGTATATTGATAAATATGATTGGCAGATTTTCATGGCATTGTTTCTGCTAATTCTAACACCTCTAGACAAAAACACATTATTGTGTTCTGTAGCCATACTGCACCATGACAAGATTCACACGGTAACACCTCCAAAACCAGGCAGGGGGAGGCCTGGAATCCCAGCATCTGGGAGGCTGAGGCAGGAAGACTATGCAAGTTTATAGACTATCTAAAGGGACTCATCTCAAAAAGAGAAACTGGGTTACAACTAAAAGCCAATGAAATACAAGACCTCAAGTGCAATCAAATTTAACAGTAGCCTTTCTACAGGACTGAAATATCATCTAGAGATACAGTGATCACATTCATTTACTTGCCAAAATATGCCCTAGGGGTCTTATGCCCTAGTAGTCAAGCCATAAGCCATAAGAAACTTGACTACAAAGAATACCGAGAGGAAACTGTGGTCTCCTTTCCAAAGTACTGTTTTAGGATGATGTAATGTAATGATATTCTGAACATTACTTCTGTTTTTATGATTTTAAAATAGATGACTACTGCATATCTAATACAAAGAAATTTGGCACCACTTATTGTCCTTTGCTGACTTAATATGAAGGCCTAGCCTTGGAGGAAAGAACATCAGAAATACAGATTGGGACAATCACAGCTAGAATCCAAGGACTAACACTTAGTATGCTATAGTCTACACTGTCTTTAGACTACACCTATAATGAACCAAGTTTTGAATTCCAATTTCCTTTGACCATTAGTTTAAGTAAGTTTGGGAGCTGGAGAGATGGCTCAGCAATAAAAAGCACTGGCTGCTCTTCCAGAGGACCCAAGTTCTATACCCAGCACCCACACGGAGGCTCACAACCATCTAGAACTCCATTTCCAGGGGATCTAATGCCCTCTTCTGGCCTCCACAGGGACCAGGTATACATGTGGTCCACAGACATGCATGCAGAAGAAACACCCATAAACATAAAATAAATACGTGTTTTCTAAAAGAATAAGATTGGTAGTCTCATGTCAACATTTAATAGACACGCACATACCACCACCAAAGTAAACACCTTATTTAAGTAGAAGATAGAGCAGTAAACAGACTTGGGGATGACATTTAAACAAACAGCTGAATTGACAAAGCTATACAGAGAAAGCTTATGTATCATCCCATGGGTCTAGTTGTGAGTCCAAATTACTGTGTCCTTCATACTCCACTTTAGGGGTGCCAAGATGATCACAAATAGGAGGATCTGGAGGATTGGGTGGGAGCTTCTTGGAGAAAAAGGGAAAGAGGGCTCTCTTCTGGTTTCCTCCAATGGTGAGGCAGCTGCTGACCCCCACTTAGTGAGTTAATGCAGCTGGTGCCAATTAGCATTTTGGCCTCTGACCAACAGGAGCAATTCTCATAGAAAAGGTCTTTGTCTGGAGCTGGGTTCTGACAGTGGATGAGTTTTCAGTTGGCTCCCTGGCTATCAGAGGACTGGGGGCTGGGAAGAGCCAACATCTGCACAGCATTAATTTGCACAAGCAGCCATGGGCTGTAAATGAGGCAGATGAAAAGCACTGCTCACTTCACCATCTGAGCGAGCACACAGGGTGCATAGTATTAGTTCGGCTCTTTGTCTTTTAATGTCCCCTTTGGTGGGGTTCTGAAGTTTGTTTTGCAGTGCCCTAAGTCTGCTAGGTGAGTGCTCTACCACCGAGCGACCATCTCCAGCCCTGTTGTGTTCCCTTCAAATGTTGCTTTGAGCCCTTCCTGTCTAAGCCCTCTCTCACTCCACTGATGGCAGGCAGTATTGTCTGATCAGAAACAGGCAGCCCTCGGAGATGCTAACTGGGCTGCAAGAGGACTGAGAAATGCTCTGAGTTTACCATCTTTCCACCTGGCTTCTTCACAGACTTCAACATCAGTTACTGACAGGTGAGCAACTAGAAGGGCAACCGGGGGTCTTTGTGAGGGGGAGAAAAAGGCTGCCGGAGAGACAAATGGTCCCTCTGGAGGATTTCTGCACTGAGACGTACAACTGAGCGTGCTCCTGAAAGAAAATGCCTGCTTCTTAAAAACAGTTTACAGTCAACTGCTACTCGGCTCTTCCTTATGCCTGCAAACTGAAAGAAAATGAGATATTTCAACTTACAGAGTCCTGGGAGATCTGAGTGTTACTCAACACATGCCAAGTAAGAGAGCACAGAATCAATTAAGTTTAATTTGATTCAAAGATAAAAAGTTACAAAATTTAAATTCGCCATTCAACAATATGTAAATGAAGACAATTTTACAGATTCTAGAAGAAGACACATTTTAGAACAAAATTAAGATTATGGGATCAGGTCACAAGAATGACAGTCTTCAAAATTAACATCCTCATCCAAATCACTCAGTACTACAGTAAAAACTCATCACGAAAATTAATATAACCAAAGTGAAAAATCACATATACACAAAAGGTTGCTCAAAAGATCTAGAAGATAAACTCTTGAACATATTCTGTATTAATATTAAAGTCACACTACTTTTATGTAACCGAATAATCAGTGTATTTATTTTGATAATGGCCTTGTCCTTGAGGCTCTTCTTTGTCTAATGGCACATCTAGTCAGAACAGCCCTCAGCATCTTCTACGTCTTTCTCTACCCAAGTTGGTCCCTTGCTGAGTATTTTGATCAGACCTTATTAGTCACCTGGTTGTTGCATGTGATTAAAAACAAACAAGTCCCACCATGGAAGAATGAAACAGACTTGAGACTGCAACTAAAAGATGAACACAGTGAGCAGAACCCTTTCCATGAAAGAGACCAAGAAATCACAGAAGCCCAATGCACAACTCCATGACAAAGCCCTACCAAAAGGCACAGCACAGGATGACTTTCATCAAGTCCAGTAACACACTATTTTTCTAGGTTCCTGAACTACTGGACTGGACAAAGTTTCATGTCTACACACAGATATCATAGTCAATCCCAATCTATAAGGCAAAATACCATAGGTATAAGAGTTTTGAATAATAAAACCTCAAGTAATCCAAATTTATTTTGAAAACCAAATTGTGATTACACTTCAACATTTTAAAGGCCCAAACTTTTAAATTGTAAGAACAAAAAAAAAAAAAAAGGAATCCAAAATCTAAGCTAGCAAAGCAGTCATGACCTTGGCAATGAAATGTGACCATCCACAATGTAAATGTGCACATGTTTAGATAGCTGTACCAGGGTTAAATAAGTGCACAGGAGAAAAAAGGAGGAAGAGGAGAAGAGTCTACTAAAGACTATCTCTAGGTGAGTTTCTTCTTTAATCTTCAGATTTCCTACATGGCCATGCAATATTTAACTAACTCTGAAAATGAATAAATACTGGTTTATGGGACAGGAATGAGCCCCGTGAGAACTTTCTGTCAGTTCTTACGGTCTGCCTCCATGTTTGTCTCCCATCCTCTGCCTCCCATCCCTAATGCTGGAGGGCTACTGCCAAACCTGAAGAACCACACAGCCTAGCTGGGACTAGGCCAGAGGCATTCCAAGGCCTCAGGCTTGTTCCTTCTTGTCTGCTGTGACTACCTATCCAGACAGTGACCTAAGACCAGCGGTTTCCAAAAGTCCGTCATTCCCAAAAGGAAGCAAGGACGAAGCTCACCGTCCTGTCTTCAATTCTGACTGTCAGAGGCTCCCTTACAGGGACACAGCTTCAGGCCATCCAGACACTGGTCTATGCCGGTAGCAAATTCCACGAAGTTTCCCATACTACATACTACAAGAAAGAAAAAAATACCGTGTACACTGAACAGTGTTGCTTAAACCTTACAAACAGATCCAAGTGAGGATTGTCAAGGAGCAGCTGCAAGGGAATGATGGGCAGCACCTGTGTGTGCATCTTGCACTGGCCAGCCCGTGACCTCAGGTCTCAGGAGCTCCTGCGTGCTGATTTGCCATGCTCAGATAAAGGCTATGCTCTGAGAAGTATCTTCAACTAGAAAGAATAAAGGGACTTCCGCTCCTGGAGGAGATAAAGTATCAAGGGGCCAGAAGATTTGCCCTCCTACTTAAACAACTAAAATTAGACAAATCCTAAAGAGGTTAAGATACCAGGCAATGATGGGCAGTCTAGACCAACCAAGAACAGGAGACTCGATTGGGCAAGAGGAGCCTGCGAGCTCAGGGGGTAGAGCAGAGAGTCTGGAGAATCCGCAGCAACCCCATGAATAGATGTCCAGAGCATAGAGAAGTGCACAGCAAGAAAGGCGTGGGGCAGGGAGCCCTTCTGGGGTTGCAGTGGAGCACCACCATGAAGAAATCACGTGGAGTTAAAGGAGGAATCTAGTCTTTAAAAGGCATCTGTCAACAGAAACCACCAGCACTTGCAGAAAAAGGAATAGGGCAAACTGCTATACACCCAACTGGAAAACATCATCTCCCAGGACTTTGGAGGCCAGAGTCCCAACAGCGAGGAAATGAGTCCCCGACTAGATACTGATCCAAGCCCCAGTGTATGGCAGTTAACTGGACATCCCCCACCCCCGCCCAAAGTCAAGACTACAAAAGTATGAAATATCATGAACCCAAGAAGGTAAAATTCATGGTGCCTGGCTCTAACTAGAGATTGCCAGGTAAAGAAATTAGAGCACACAACCACATGGGAGAAGGGGTGAGCAACAACCACCTGTTGGCTGTGACTATCCTGCTTGTTAGGAACACGCTCCTGAAATAGCCTGACATCCACTCGCTTTGACACAGTGCACTACATTAAAACAACCTGATTCACGCGCTTCACTTCCTCCAGAGGATGACAAAGAAAACCCCACAGATCATGTCTCCACTTACCTAGCACCGAGAGAGTAGAACCAGGACTTGGGTTCATTGGGCCACCGTCTCACTCTGCAGAACAGGCTGCCCTGAAACCCACAATCTTGCTGGCCTTAACTTCTCCTGGGATCAGAGGCATGAAGCACCAGGGACTAATCACGATTTTTAAAAAATCTATCACACTCCTTAAAATTAATGTGCCAAGACACAGCACTTCTGATTGAATAATTTTTGTTGAGTATCAATTGCTAACATGACAAGACTGAATCAAAAGTACAGATACCATGAAAACTATAAATAGCTCATATTGGAAGCAATAATATAATGACTTCCTAATTCTGACTTTTAAAGTATTTGTAAACAACCAAAGATTTTTGATCAAATTTTATTTTTTAGTTAATATGTAATTAGGTCATTTCTTCCTTCTCTTTCCTACCTAAGATCCCTCCCACATACCTCACCCCCCACTTTGCTTCCTTTCAAAATCATGGCCTCTTTTTCTTTGTCACATATACACACATGTGCACACCTTTGCATAAATACATAAATACATGGTCTTATCCTTACGAAACCTGCTTTGCTAAATATTAACCATTACAATGATGGTGTTTTTGCTTTAAAAATAACATGAGCCAATTCCTTATGCTCAGTTTCTTTACATCCAAGATAAGAGATCCATTCCTGGCAAGTGAGGCCACCCAGGATGGTAAATATAAACTAGGTTAGCATGAAAATATCTTTACAGTGTTTAGCACACAGCAAATATGTGCTGTGGTTTTAAGAAAATGAACTACAATTATCTTTGGCTTTATAAAGTATTCCTACAGCAGCCTTTAACATAAAAGCAAGCCCTGATAAACACAGACACAAATCCCCAGCATGGCCTTCCTGCTAGCTGCAGTGGACAGACAGGAAATCTAAAACAGCTCACCAACTTACTGCTGTGATGAAGCAAGAAGACAGAGGAAGGATGTCACAGGCCAAATCAGCCAATGCCAGTGTAACCTGTTTTCTTCCCAACGGCCAGTTAGGCTAAATCTCTTGCTAACAATGAGTAACAAATGTGAGTCCTAACCAGATAGGCTGTTACCTCTATTCATACAATGACATAAAAAACCTGCAGGTGTTCCTTCTTAGAAAAACAGGAAGGATGACTATAATCTAGAGATACCAAAACAACTGGTAAGGGAAGATAATGAATTCTCTTCATCCACTGTTGATGCTTGTCCTGTTCAGCAGTGTTACATGGGGGGCACTGCCACCATGAACTCTCCGCTGCCACTCCCTTAAATGCAGCCCAGGGTACGTTCTGAACACACTGCACACCCCACTGATGCTGAGCAAGCACTGTGTACATCTTATCAGAGAACAGCTGCTCTTTCAAATGTGCTTTTAAAAGATATATAAGACAACTGTTTAAGATGTGAGATTTTGTGGATAGAACAATGAACTTTTACAGGATTAGCATGATCCAATTCAAATGGGCAGATAAAATAAAACTTCTCAAGTTTTGAAAACAGACGTTGGTGTTATCTTGAACCTGCTACTTTAACTATCTCATGCAAGAAAGCTGCATGCCAGTTATTTAAAGTAGAAGAAAAACAGACTTCCAATTCAGATGACTAGAAAGGTAAGTGACTATGAATCCTAACACAGAACTCCAGGGCAGCCTACCGCATGCCTACTTCCGTTTGCTCTCAACGCAGCTCACTAACTTGAGATTAGGTTCTTTAGTCCTTCTTCCTCCCTCTATTCTAGAGCCGTGGGGACAGCGCAAGTAAGGAGACAGACGGGAGGCAGTGGAACTCTCTGGAAGAGAAGAGTCTCAGAACACCGCAGCTGCTCTCCATCTGCCAGCAGACAAGTGATGCCACTCCCTAATAACAGCACAGCCATCGCTCCCCAGAGACCTTCTCTTGGCACTCTCCATGACCATAAAGCAAAACACATGGTAAGAGTTTGTCTGGAGTCTCCTGAGGTTGGCCAAGTCAGAGCAATTGTTTTAAAACTGGAACTCTCACAGGAGACAAGAAACAGAGCACACTTGTCAGAAAGAGGACCACCTACAATCCCATGCCTACATTCAAAGTAGTGGGATGGCAGAGCTGGGATTCTGCATCAAAGGAAAATTATGTCCATCACCATCATTCATACATACATATATACACACAGGGAAAGGGGGGGAGGGAGGGCGGGGACTGACTTTCAAATGACATTTCCTCCTCAACAGTACCTACTGGTTTATAGACTAAAATTTAGGCCAATTAGTTATATGCCCAAATGAATATCCCCAGTGAAGACTCTGACAGACCATTACCAACTTAAATTCCTAAGGAGAAAGGGTATTATCACACTGAAGTCCGCCTAGTTCTTCCTCCCCCGACTAGCAATAAACGTGAAGAATAGGAGAAAGGTCAGATCGTGCCACCTTCCTTGTCAGCCTTTTAAGAGCCTTCTCCTGCCCACTGACACAGCGTTTTCAATCTCCATGTTCACAGCAGAGACTGAACTGGAACAAGAGAAGGGCGCAGGGCAGGGATGGACACTACTGAAACAAACCACGAGGGACCAAGACCCACACTCTGAAGCACAGGGACAGCAAGAGCCACGAGCTGCCTGGGAAGAAGAAGACCGTCCAAGACATGTCTGAGCAAATCCCACAGCATCAAGTCATCCAGAACAGGGCTCACAGCATCGAGAATGATGCAGGACGGGTGCACGCGCGCACACGCGCGCGCACACGCGCGCGCACACCCAACCTACAGGTCAGAACAATTACATTCACGCTCAGGCCTACACTAACGAACCTATCAAGAAGATAAAAAAAACCTGTCAGGAACGGAGGCTGCACACTGTGCACATTCAACAGCTGATCTTTCTATGGAATACTACACTTTGGGCTAAAATATGGCACCAAAGAACTGTGGCTTCTGTTTGCAGTTTTGCTGACTAAAATCAGACACAGGATGGGAAAAAGAAGCAGCTGACCACCTTATAACCTTTACCAAACCAAACCAAACCAAAACAACCTGAGCCTGAGGAGACATCTCAGTAAAGTGACCTCACTTAAGATTAACATACTTGAGTTCTTGGAGAAACAGACCGTAAGATCTTGAGATAATGAGAAACGAACTCTTGAGGCTCTTGCTCTTTTCAATGGTATTTGAGTTTTTTTGGCTATCATAAAATTGTCAAGGCAGCAGGAAAAAATACCGGAAGCAGTCAGAAGCTAAGCAACTGAGGAGCAGCCTACGGAAGAGGAAACCCACTCTCTACCTCTAGATGAGCACGGGACACTAAGACCGACAATTCACTGTGGACACACAGACCCTGAAGGAGCCGGGGAGAGGAAAGAGTATGATCGAAATATACTGTATGAAAAATCAAGTTAACATCTGTTGGTGCACTCAAAGGGTTTCGAAACAGCCGCCAAGACAACATCCACCTTTTCTGCAGCAATACCTTCACTCATTCACAAAAGAAATGGTCCCAGTGGTCTCCTGGGAAAATGCTTCACCCCCGTAAGTACGGCATCCTTCTGGCCGCTACTACCCTCACTGCTGCTCTCTGAGGCAGAACAAATGTCGCAGCACCAACAGCAACAGTTAGAGCATCTGTCTCTGCAGGCTCCGTCAGCGCGCTGGAGATGGGAGCAGGGGGCAGTGAACAGTGAGGTGGGATGGGGTGAGAACGCAGGCTGGCTTGGAGTTCTGTCTGGCTCTAGCTCCCTCCGCGGCTACCTTGATTCCTCCCCAACCTCCAGGAGGGAGGAGGCAAGCTGCCAGCTCATAGGGTCAGTAGAGAAGCTGCCCAGCCTTTCAGAAAGATACGGAGGAGATGTGGAGTGTGGCTCAGAAGGAAGACCAAAGGGCACTGTGTGGAACTCTTGCTGGAGAATCGGACCAACAGTGATGCTTATACTGTCAGCCCCAAACTAAAGCTCAGGGCCGGAGTCCAGCAAGCTCTG